GACCGCAGTGTTCTTTTCCATATAGAACTCAATTGTGGTGGGTTGTCTTTCATAAAATTTATTTATATTAAACATGAACTTAGGAAACAAAGATCGATTGACTTTTTTATTATTTGAATTTAATTATTGATTTTTCTTATCCTTATATCAATATTTTTAAATCTTTACAACCAAAAGGTGGAGCAGTTCGTGGTGTCGCTGCTTTTCCTTCCGATACAATGTCCGTATTCAAGACGAGTCTGTGTTATTTGCTAATGCGTTTACCATTAGGTCTGCGTCACCTAACATCAACTGGGGTAATGGTGCACTGGCTAGTTCTTAAACAAAGCAATCTACGGAATATTATATGCGAGGCAAGACTTGGCCTTAATATTGCAGCATTGGCTCGTAAAGTGTGTTGCCACAACACGGGGACCACACACGGCGCGCCAGAAATAGATCTTCCGCTCTCCTCGTGTCCGGCTGCTGCAACTGGAGTAGAACCGACTATTACACTAGTCTATCTTAACGCCCGCAACCGGCATTTGGGTGGGCGCGAGATATACGCGACACGTACTTACGAATATGTACACAAACGGTAAAATGCATAGACAATATGCAAAGAAGGTCATTGCCGTGTACTCGGGAGACTGTTTTTCGTGTTATATAAACATAGTTCTTCGGTTAAAATTTGTAGAAAGTAGTTTGTAGTAAATAGTTCTTCGGATTTAAACGTTCTACCCTTTCTCGCTCACGTCCACGTTTTCCCGTTAACGTCGGGGCGTTAAAGCATTTTTCTGATCGCTATTTTCTTTATAACCTATTAATCCTCCATTACGCTGAGATCGATGGTGTTGAACAAATAAACGCTCCGGGATTAACTTTCAATACACAATCGTGAAAACAAATCAAACAGCGGCGCGGCACGTCGACAGCGACAACAATGGCGCTCGCTTGGCGCGAAGATTGACATTTGACAGCTATTTAGGCGGGAACAGGGCTAGCAGTACAAAGTAAACGCTGAAAGACATCTTTTGTAAAACGCAAAGCAATGATTGTTTCTTTCTTTTTTAATATCATCCGTTCTATTGATTTGTAGCTTTAACAAGTCGTTGTACGTTCGAAAGTTTCCGTGTTAGTGGAATTAATTTTAAAAGGCATTGATAGAATTAAGAATAAATATAAAAAAAAATAATTCGCATAAAATTTAACATTATATTCCATATGGTACATAATTATTGCGGTAAAAGAACGTTGTCAAATAGTTTATATGTATGCTATATTTACGTTTCTCATGCTTTAACTCCAATAATGACATTGATATTCAAAGTTATAAAAGTTATATTATAATTCATTAAAATTCTAACGAGAATGCAAAATATTTACGCAACGTACGGATGGTAGCCCTAAGGGAGTAGAGTGACGTCGGCCGTCGGCTTGTTAGCGACGCCATGTTGGAGTTTTTTCCTGTTGTTTTACATTTTCAATTGTCTGGCAATGGCGCCTAGCCACTCTGCCAGCAGTGTCCGTTTGTTTAGATTATTGTCTTTAATATCTGGTTAATTCCGATGAGGATTTACATCACACCAATTGCATGGTGTTAAAAGTTTCGTAGTTTTTTATTTATCTTTAATAGCCAATTATATATCCCAAGCGTCCAATGACCATCTATTCAATAAGACAAGATAAATTGAACACAATCTATTTATTATTTAATTGGCTCAGATTTGAATTCTTCATTGATATTCTTAATTGAATCTGAGGCAAATAAACCGCCATATTTATTCCATTTCTCGCCTTAAAAGTGAACGAAACTTGCACCTCGAAAGCGTTAACGTAGCCGGATGAAAGGCCTTATTACCATAAGTGCAAGTGTCAAGATGATTTTGTGGCACGCTCCGTGCTAAAAACGACGACACGTGGACAACGAATGGGTTTACATTCATTATGCACTAGTGACGCTTCACGGCGATGCTCACCTAGTATTTGTATAATGGTCAAATCACGAATATTTCGGTAATTGCCGCATAGAATAAGCCAGTATTTGGAAGGACGTCATTTTAAAGAAGTTACGGTCTTTGTCGCTGGCAGAAAGTTTTCAACAATGATAGAGTCCGATCTGTCTTTAATGTATGACATTTTATATTTACGTACAATAATGTGCCAAACATTTTTATTAATATAAATGTAGCTACGAATCTTATCATAAATAATGATGATGACAATAACACGATCGTAAATATAAAAGCTTAACGATTTTGTATTTTACGATGCGATGGCGATATTATTGTAGTTAATACTCTACTAATGTACCGATATTGCTGGAAAATAGACGTTATAACTCATATCATTCCTATTTATAGATATGTAATATTATAACAAATGTGTTTTAGTAATGAAATATTTATTTATCATACAATTATTTGTATGAAATTCATACACATGGTATAATTTCCGCGATATACTTACAAACAATATTCTGTTAAGCACGAACGAAAATTTTCAGGTAGACGCATGCATACATTATAAATTACAAGACGTCAGAGAAGTTTCTCTCCATATAATATTGTTAAACACTAGAATTCCCAAACTTTACTCATTGTTTCTTATTTGCATAAACAAATAGCTTGAGCAAATATTTTGCTTTCACAAAAAAATATCAACGTAATTCATTGTGGCAAATCATATGAAAAATAATTTTCTTCTAGAACACAATAGTTAAAAACAAGATCCGGTTATTCAGGTCCAATCTGGTTATTAAAGATGTAATGAATGAAGTGTATAAAAATTTATGAAGTAAATGAATTTTAGCAAATTAATAAAAATAGTGAAACTTTTGCAAAGGTGAATCATCTTGAAAAGATTATAAAGTACTACAAAGTTGCACACAAATTACAAAAATAGTACGTACAGTATGTATTATATATACTGTGTATGGCGAGAGCTTTTTTATCTATTGCTTTACATATACTTATCATACTTCCGCTTAAATTAGAATACATTAAAACATGGCGCTTATACTGCGAGTTAACTATCATTATTGCTGTTAAGTAACACCGGAGGGCTTATATGTGTCTTCAATAATTTTATCTTTTGTTGATTTTACGCGAATATCATACATATTAAATGAAACTAATTTACGGATTTTATGTCGTAATAATTTTGATTTCGACTTCCCGACGTTTCTTAACGCTGGAAAGGTTTCGAAAGGGCTACCGTCAGTTTTTGAATTTTATATATTTATATATTTTAAGGACACATTTTTACACAACATTTATGTCTTACTAGCTGCTGCCCGAGACTACGTCTGCGTAGAATAAGCTGAAGGCGAAACAGACTTCAGACAGAAAGATTACACATTAAATAGGTATATAAATTGTAGCCTATTTATTATTCTGATGTATAAGCTATATTATTGTATTATAAGTAGTATTTGCGTGAAAGAGTAACAAACATCCATCCATACATACAAACTTTTGCGTTTATAATATTAGTAAGGTTTAATTTTGAGTCCGACCTATGCAGAAGGAGCTATTGTATTTTGTCTTGCAGTAGTGGTTCGTTGGGGCTTAGATTTAATTTGATTTATGATAAGATCCCAAGCTGATGTTAGCACCCAACCCTCTTCTCTATTGAAATCACGGTGGTTTTTTTTAATTTCAATAGTCGCGAATCATCCTTGGGAGAAATCCATGTTCTTTCGCAAGGATCTGTGGTCTATCAAATCTGATGTAGTAGTTGGACCGATTTAAGGTGTACTCACAAACTGCTGACTTTACTTTCATTTAATATAATTTTATCTTTTCTTTATCCACCAATAATCCAATCTTTTCTTTACTAACTCCTCCGATTTTGCTATGTATTTCGTGGAACAAATTCTCTTCGATCACCTCTAGCTACGCGTACGGAAAATCCGTCTCCATAATCTACCGCGTTTAACACTACGCTCAGTTACGTCATCGTACGATACGAGTTACCCTTCAATAGCGTCGATGCTGCGTCGACGGTTGGCAGACCATCACCAAGAGTTTATCACGAATGATCCTGACGCGTGATTTTATTGTGGTATCAGGAACATTAAAACCTTCATGGCCGGTGACGCAATTGTAATAGGTGACGCGCTTGCACCTTTGCCTCCTTTTTCCATAAAAAAGACTCTGAAATAGACATTTCATTATAGCTTTTATTTATATTTTTCTCTTTTCAAGACTATGATCTGACTAATTAGATTAGCCCAGCCTTGGGTTTCAGTGCCACCTTTATTTGTCGGTATTTTTAACTTAGGGACACTGTAAGATGTGCCGGCTGAACAGAGAACGGACCATTGCCTCTAAGAGGATCTGCTATAAAAGAATATACAAATATTTATGTGTTTCATAAGGTGAGTTATAGAAACGAGGCGCACACTTTAAAAGTCCTGCTAACATAAATTTTTACTAGTTTTTAAAATATTTGTAAAATTCACATGATATATCGCCTCAATAATTATATTCGCTAGGCAACTTGAAATTTATTTACGATAATATTCTTCCATTAAACTTTATAACTGATTCAGGCATATGTATCTAATATTTTTGTTCATCATTCCACTTATCGCATGAATTGAGAGAAATCACTTAAAACTTAAAATGTATTCGTTCTTTATGACGGATAATCACTTTAAGCTTCAGCGTTTTTACTCTTTTATAAGATTTTTTATTAGAAGCGTGGCAAAACAATTTACTGGCGTATAATAAAAACATAAGCGACTGGGGAACATGCAATTCCTTTGATGGCTTTTGATTTTTCATAGAACGCGAAGAAATACCCGTAGAGAGCTTATGGTTGGAGCTTATGCTTATGAAGTGAGGGACACAACATCATCCAACGTGAGGAACACAACATTTTACGTAGATTGGTGGTAGTGCCACGCAGCAGCCTCGGCTGTTGCACGAATGGGCAGGCTCGTCCGGGTAAGTACCACGACCAGTACTACAGTTATATGTAGTATGTAGAGCCACGCAGCAGCTTTTGTTTCATGAATGGGAAACTCTACCACCGGACTACTAGACAACAAGACCGGTGTCGAGCGGAACTATCTGTCAACTCCTCCATTTCCTATGGCGAGTGAGGTAACCGGGGCACTCTTTCAATGTTTGGCAATTCACTGCAACCCTGTGTTCAGTATCCATGATATTAGAATGTTTATCCATGGGTGGCATAGACTTGCAAGTCTATGCGAATACAACATATACACGTTTCAATAAAACAATATGATATGATATAAAACCGTTTAAAAACTTTTAAGTTAAACGGTTTTATTTTATGTTTTTTTTGTGCACTGAAAACTACAATATTGTATTGTCATCTAAATTAAATATGTGTACCAAATTTCAGATCAATCTGACACCGGGAAGGTGCTTAAATTTCAATTTTGACCCAAATAAATAAACAAATTCCGTACGTGTCGAGCTAAATAAAACCGTTTAAAAAGACAACCCACCGCCTCGTTTGCCACTTTAAAAAAAGAAACTTATGAACATTTCTTGAGCTTTGTCAGGTAGAGTATGAGGAGGATAGAGCCCACTCGGCAGATGCAAGAGCCATACGATGAATTAGATCATATCATATGCTTTCAATTTAATTAAAATGACACCGAATTACGGAATCCGCTTACGTATGGAAAGCTTTCGAGTAATTTGATGTGTATAATTTATGCAACGAACAATTTGCACAAACATGATTGTATTAGAAACCCTGAAGTGGATGAGAGGTCTTTTTTCAACTGTCGAACTGTAAAAGTGACAATTCATAAAATTGCGATAAAAGAGTTACGATTCGAGTAAGCCATCTTACCGGCTTTTATTATTAGCTCTAAAATGCCCCATATAGTTGATTCAGTTATGTATTGTTATATTATATATTTGTACAGTTAATATTGTTTTCTATTTGTATGAGAACTGCAATAGAAAAATATTCATTCCATTATTGTAGAGCAATAAAAGAGTGCTATATCGATCATCAAGAGGACGAGAAATGGAAATGAAGTGGACTAAATGAGTACGAATTATTATGCACAGCATTTTTCCGATACTGCGCGATGATAAATAAGGCAATTTATAAGGTGGCGCGTAATTAGCCACCTTGCCACCGGCAATTGTATTTAATTTCAATTCGTAAAGACAACCGACCGACAATTATGCAACGCGTCAAAAATCGCCCAACGAAACACCTATCTTTAGCAACTTAACGAGCGTAATATACAACTTAATTACGCCGCCATTATAGAGGCCGTTGTGTTGTGGAAAAAATATCCAAGTCGCCGAACGCGGCCGTTCAATAATTCATCAAGATGGCGGCCTGTCTATCAATATAATAATTCTGTCAAAGTTTAATTGAAATTCCGCAGCGAGCGCGGCCCGGTGCTCAAAAGCGGCGCGCAGTATTATTGATACATTACGGGGGCCCGCGAAAGAGCCATAGCGGCAATTTACAACTGAATTACAAATCTCCGCGAGCCCGGGCACGCTAAATACACAATCGGTTAGAGTGGATCGCGGCGCGGCGTCCCGCTCGCGCTTGCGGGGCGGGCGCGCGTGCGAGAGGGAGGTCGCACGCGGCCGTCCGCCCGATCGGTCGCCGCCTACGGACGGGGCAGGGTGGAAAGCTTGTTTGCCCGAGGGCGTGTCCCCCGCTACAAGAGGCGCAGTCGCCGCGCCGCCGCCGCCGCGAGCAGTCACACGCCAGTGCCGCAGGCGCGCCGACGTCCCCGACAGAACGGAGCACGCCGCCCCCGCATTGTAAAAAAAAACAATGACAAAAAACGGTTAACCAGTACACAGAATTTGCGGAACGCGTGCACATCTCGAACGTCGCGACGTGTGCAGATGTATTGGGACGCGTAACTGGAGGGCACGTGCTTGCCGCTCGAAGTACTTCAACACGGCCGACATGGCTTTCGAAGACCGCTGCAGCCCGAGCCAGGCGAACAGCCCCGGCCCGGCCGCCGACAGTCCGGGCTACCGGCCGAGCCAGTACACCTGCACGACCATCGACGCCAGATACGAGAGGGGCTCGCCGAACGTGACCCTGGTGAAGGTGCAGCCCAGCTCGCCGCCGCCGAGCCCCGAGCGGACCGGCTACCAGGAGTACTACAGGCCGGAGACGCCCGACGTGAAGCCACCGATAGCCGACCGAGGCCGCCAGCAACCTCCACCAGTGACATTCTCCATCAGCAACATCCTACGGCCGGAGTTCGGGTTGAACGCGATACGGAGAACGAACAAGATAGAGGGCCCCAAGCTGGTAGGGCCGAACCGCAGCATGTTGTACAAGCCGTACCTGTCGAAAGCCGAAGCGCCGACCGGGTACAGTTTCGAGTACCTGAGGACCAAAGAGCCCAGCGAGCCGGCGCTGCCTCCCCTCGGCGGGCTGCGGCAGGCGGTGTCCCAAATCGGCGAGGCGCAAGTTTCGAAGGTGCCGGAGACTCCCAAGAGGCCTGACTCAGCGAGCTCCATGGTCTCTTCGACTTCCAGCGGCGCCCCGTCCACTTGTGGCAGCGCGGACGCCAACCCGTCGACCGGCAACTCTACCCTCTGGCCCGCCTGGGTCTACTGCACCAGATACAGCGACCGACCTAGCTCCGGTAAGCCTTGTTCACGAGGTTTTTTTTTGTTATCTCTCTCCGCTCTGTTCTCGTCAATCGAAGAACGTGGTTTCCAAATCCACGCGTCCCATGCATGCTCCCGCTTACTTTCCTAGTGTTATTGTAACATCAGTGGATGCAGAGATTTAGTATGCGTTGGTTCAATAGCATTGGTAAGCTTATTGATGGTGAGTCTCGCGACTAGAATGCTTACACTCCGAAAACTATCACCACAAATTGCATTGGTCTCATACTGGCGCAGTACTACACGATGTTTTTGGTCTTCCGTGACGATGTGGTACTGGTTATCACATTTAGTGCATTTGAACAACATGGTTTGTGATGATTGAGGATATTTGGTTGTGAAAAAAATTACATCTGCATTTAGATCTTTCTATTACCATTCATTTTGTTCATTTTACAATAAACACCACAAAAGGTATTTTTATATTTTAATTGAAGTGCTTTGTTCTTGATTTGCCTGCGTCAATTTTCGTCAATAACAGAGTAGCTTAGGAGTCATTGTATTGATTTAACAATGCGTTTGCAGTCTACGTGAAACTTGCCATCAAATGGGGGCGGTAGTCAAGCACCAGCCGATTCGTGTTAAGCAGACATTATGTTGTAAAAGTCATGATGTTAAATCGAGATCCAAGCCGGAAATGGTCGAAATTTGAATATAATAAGTATTCATTAACAGAAATTTTATAGCGTCGCAAACAATTCAGCGCAATAAATTCTTTTGATATTGATCCGGATTTTTTTATTATTCTATTCGTAAATGGCATTTTTCTTTTTTAACTAACTAAAGGCCATCAAAATAGTCTCGTTTCTATTAATCAAGATGTGCGGACATCCATAAAGGGATCCAGACATTAGGTACAAACTCTTACAAGTCACTTTCTTAGAATAATCAGACTCCTGCCAGTTTGTAAATGTTTCTTTTTACTTCTTCCGCTCAACCGAACATTACGGGGTTGTTGTTAAAAAGTTATATACACATCAAATAATGATCGCTGATTATCTAATATTGGAGCTAAGACGTAGACATACAAAAAGTTGCTCATGTTTTTAATAGCTTTATCGTCAGGCGAGACGGGTGAAGTCTTGCCATACACCGGACTCAACAAAAACACTGTGGCAGGGCCACGCAACACTCTTCTTTGTTGCACGAATGGGCAGGTCCATCCGGGTAAGTACCACGATCTCACGGAAGACCTGCGTTAAGTGGAAGCGTTATACTTTTGCGTTTTGTCTGGAGAGTGAGGTAGCCGGGGCCCACTTTATTAAAAGGTGGCAACGCATCTGCGATTAAGGTTTGCAGACTGCAACCCTTTGAATGTTGCAAATGTCAATGGGAGGCGTTTATAGTGATTGAGTGTAACATCAGGTTTATCGCAAGCTCGTTTGCCACCGTCTCACTTAAAAAAAACACAAGTAAATTTTTACGCTGTCACTGTCGAGTATCCGTATTCACTCCAGATGGAAAGTCCGACGGCCACTGTGGTAAATCTGCCAAATAAATAAGTTTACGGTTACTGAATTGTAACTAACGCGTATCCAGTGTTGCCTTACCCTGCAGTGGCGGCCTTCTCAGTCCATTGCCCTCCGGCCACGCCAAGAAAAAAAGGGCGTGTGCGGGGATAACACACGGGAAACGGACGATTGATCGAATCGATAATTCATCAATTATAACAGTTTGGCGCGGCCAGCGAGCGTTTTTTTGTCGGGAAAAAACGAGGTTTCTAGGTTATAATTACGTTATCAGTTGTTCGTTGTTAATTTAATAAGGTTGTTTTATTGACTAACGAACGCCTATTGCCGATTGCGTTTCAACTTAAACGAGGCAACTAACACATTTGCGCTGCATGGAAAATTCTTCATCCGCTAGTTTTTCTTTGTTAACAGAGTCGAAGCGGAATAATATCGTAATAATAATATTACGTATATAAATACGTAACATCATTCACAATATAATGTTTGGTGCAAATGAAACGGCATAATTTACATCGATGACTTAATTACTCAATTTGAAGCGATCACGCCGTATAAAGTCGATCTTTGATATGCTAAGATTTAATATGGCGACTCGTTAAAAGCGAAAGTTCGAGTATCACGTTGCATCTTGTTGGCCGTTCGTTCCAGATCATTATCGTACAAACTTAAAGTCTATGCAAATCTTTGAGCCATAGCGCCAAGTTAAGATATAACATTAAACAGTTATAATCTGTTCCGACTTCAAAGTTTTTGATGGCGTTATAAAAAGATAGATAAAATACTTTTATACTATACTCATATTAATTATTCAACAACATTTGCGTTCATATCAATAAAAGAAACAAATGTAATCAATCGAAACGTAAGTTATTACACTGAAGTGGATTATATGGTTAGTGAGTTTTGAAAAAAATCATGATAGAAAATGACGTAACAAATCATTTTAATTTTCATCGCGTGTCATTTCTGTTTTTTTTTTTACTTTGATATTTTATAATACGACTATAATTAGATCGCTTATGTTACATTACTTGTTTCATGAAATTTTTTATGATCTATTGGTGTTTCTAGAAAAAAACCATATTAAAATTATCATTTGGACAGGATGATATTATGTAAATAATATTTCATTATTGGCCAATAAGTATGAATAAAAAGCATCGTAAAACAGGCACTTATTGAAAAAGGTTATATTTTTGATATAAACGCAGTATACATAATTGTGTCCTAAAAATGAAATTAAAATACGAGATCTGTTCACGCAGTAGGCGCATCGCGCTTTAAGCGGAACCGATACGATAGTAATTGTTTTTTCATAATTTACTCTATTCATTGCGTGTCCGTTCTCAAAATACTATGTGCAATGATCAAAAAATGCAACGATGTATTTATTGTGTTCGATCAGTTATTCGTACCATTTCAAAAGCCAATAATAAAATATAGCCTTAGCCTTATGTCTAATTATTATGTTTTATCATAAGAAATATATAATTCAACGATAATTATGAAATTGTTTAAGAATTTTGTACTTCAGATATTTTAGTAATCTGTGTCATCATCTTCTTTTCTTTTTTTTCTTTTTTTGCTACTATCTAGTCTATGCATTACGGCCTTCATTACAATCTTCGCCTACGCGACCGACGACGTGACGCGGCGGTGAAAAAAAGAAATGTCGGCGGAATTTTAAACGTGGCAACATTGGTAGAGGAGCGCTTTAGCAAGTATAATGGCTGTTGTCACCTCGGCCCGGACAGCTGGCCGTTTTGTTATTCAAAACCGTGCCTCCTTTTGATGTTTGTATCTCGGGTGCGTCCATAAATTAGTAGGCAAACGGCGCATTATAAATGCGTCGCAATAATTTAATTTTGTCCGTCGACCGCGCACTACCGTCCGCGCTGCCTTTTTTGTCCGTTTTCGCGCCGCGCGCTGACCGCTTGGTCTTTTTGCTGGTCTCGATTTATTTATGCGCGAAAAACAAAGTTAAACACCGGCCGCCATTCGTAGTAATGTTTCTTACATTAGTCGCGTGGAGGAAATCATACAAAAAATATTTAAACACTGTTACGTAGGTACGACAATAAATAATTTGTTAATGCCGTTTTTTTTTGTTTCTCATTCTTTCATTCATTTGTGAATTGTTGTTTTTTCATATTAACATGTAAAGATAAGAAACTTTTAAACTAAGTACAATGTACAGTACACTGTATTTAATTCAAAAGCAATATCTAATCACATCTCTCACTTTGTTATCTTGACTGGATAGTCAGATAAATGTGTATTTGCAATTTCTCAAACTTTCGGAATACCAACACAAGTGAGACCCTGCCTCTGAGATTATACCTTCTGTCAGTACGTGCGTAAAAAAATAAAAATCGGTAACATTCACACCCGAGCCCGGATAAAGTAGAAAGCCTTTATCGAACGATTACCGCATAGTGGGGGTACATACATGACGGTTCTCAGGTGACAATCTCCCTAACAAATGCTAATTGCTAGGTCTTAATAAGGTAGTAAGAGAACTTTCTACAGGCTGTGTGCCTGATGGAGCCTCAGATAGTTCCTACAAAAGCACGAGTTTTTTTATTTAGATTATTTTTTATTTAAAAAAAAACATTGCCCTTACTTTAGGATAACATTATCCTCTGTTGCAAGGACGTTCTACATACTTATATTTTGCGTGGACAAGCAACCAAATGCGAAACAACTATCTGTGGGTCACACAAACAGTTGTCCCGTGTGGTAATCGAGCCGACGAACCCCGCGCCGAAGCCTTGGCAACTGCGCTATGGATTCATCAAACAAAGGTAATAAACACTCAGCCTGAGACTTTGTTCCTATCCGGGTATAATTGTGTCTCTTACATTGTAACCTCTTTTCCTCCGTTCAAAAACAATGACGACTCAAAAATCACGTCAATCTTTTATTCCTCTTTTAACCTTTACGAGCTTGTCCTTAATTAATTCGAGCCGAATTAGGAGGTCAATAAAAGCCATCGTAAAGGATTTCCTTCGGCGGGCTATTGGGTTTTTTTTCTTTTTTTACATATTTGATTAGGCTCGAGCCTGAACTTTTTGGTAATTACAAAGGGACGTAAAGAAGCATGTTTGTAAAATCAAAACCGGTGCGTGGTACTCATTGAGAGATAAAAACCAGAAAACCAGAAAACACAATCTTATCTACTTTTGTTAAATATTACTTGTTTGTTTTTATTATTTCATTATTTGAAGTTTTACTTTTTCTCTTTGTTTTATTACTTGTTTGTTTTTATTATTTCATTATTTGAAGTTTTACGCAACTTGCTATTCATAGTTCACTTTGAGTCTTTATTAAATTAGTGATAATGATTTTTAATCTGCATTGTATGTGAATTACAATCAATATTTAGAATTGTCTTCTTGTGGAGAAGTCTTTTATTAAATAGTTACCTATTTTACGTACAAATTTTTATTTATTTTATTGTCTTCTTGTGGAGAAGTCTTTTATTAAATAGTTACCTATTTTAC